CATTCTATAGATAATAAATGTTAAGGATTGTAGCACCTAAGAGTAAGCAGATCTTTAAGAAAAAGCTTTTGATGAACAACCACATGTCAACAAACTGGACAACCTAGAAGAAATGGACAAGTTTCTAGAAATACAGTCCACTAAAACTGAATCAAGAAGAAATAGATCATTTGAACAGACTCATCATGAGAAGTGAAACAGAATCAGCAATAAAAATATTCCCTGCAAACAAAAGTCCAGGACCAGATGGCTTTACTGCAGAATTCTACCAAACATATAAAGAACTCATACCGATCCTTCTCAAACACTCCCTCATACCATACACAAAGATAAACCCAAAATGGCTTAAACACTTAAATATAAGACACTATAAACCTAGAAGAAAACATAGGCAAAACATTTTCTGACATAATAAATTAAATAAATAAATAAAGTCAATCAAGGGAATGCAAGCTGAACAAATGAACAAATGAGGGGTTTTTAAGTGGTTAAAATATTTTAAAAAGAAAAAGATAAGGAAAGAAATTCACATCAAACATTTGCAGAACCTAGAAAATCTCTGAGAAGCCACATGTTCTGTGAAGCAGTCTGAGATCTTTTTGGAGGACTTTCACCTCTTCGTCCCACCCAGATTCCTACAAGCCACATTCAATGCCAACTTATATCCACTCCCTAAGACTTGTCTCTGAATTTTTGTTTTTATAATAAAGCACCAATGGCTGTTTTTAACAGCTTCCTAAGTTTAAGGTATAGCATGTGGGTCACAGTGAGAACTACAAGATTAAGACATAATTGTGCAATGGGCTCAAAGTTAAGGTGCCACTCAATGGTGAAAAGCCAGTTTCTCCCCAACAATAGGGGTAAATTATTCACACTGTCTAATACTAAATCAACTCCTTTGAATATCCTTAGGTTCTTTCACCACCCCAGCCTGTTTCTCTCATGACCAGCATGGAGCAGCATTCTATGCAAAACACAAATTGTGTAGCTAAAAAGTGTTACCATGCACTTCAAAACAAATACCCCACAGAACTTAAACTACAACTTGCATTCTAAGAGACAATGTTATGTTGGCAAATGTAATAAAACTTTTGGCTATTTTAATTCTTTTATGTATGTGATTTATGACAAGTTTACTGCTTAGTATGGTTTTTCTCTTAGAATATCTTTGCCACAGCATTCTTGCGTTTCTCAGATAATCTAAAACAACTACACACTGTTACAGTGCTTGGACGGAATTTTGAATTATCACTTAGGCTTTAGTTTCCTAATCAATACTTTACTGTTTGTCATGAAAATGCTTGTTTCTTTTCTTCATTTCTTTTTGATATACCCATGCAGCCTACCAGTTCCATTTATTGCCAAGTTCTAAGAGTCAATATATATCCTTCCAACTACCTGTCAATAAACTAAGCAAAAATAAATAAATAAATAAATAAATAAATAAATAAATAAATAAATAAATAAATAAATTTAATAAAAAGTCATTGTCATCCTGGAGGCCTTCTGTCTCTGTGAAGCATACCAAAGCCAGAAAACACAAATACTAAGACAGATAAATTGAGTCATCCTGATTCTTCATTCTCACCACATACCCAAACTTTCACTAAGCCCCATTGATTGTCTCACACAGAGCAAAAAATTCCATTTCTGTCATGTTGACTATAGTTCTCTCAGATCTTAACACAGAACCTAGAATAAAGCATGTGCTTAATGAAGTATTAATGAATAAATAAATCAGATTTGGAAGGGAGATAATTGATCAGGTCACTATATATTAAAAATTCAGTTTGCAAAACCTGAAAGTATCAATAAAACACAAAGTTTGAAAATAAGCTTGCAATTTATAGCATGATAGTGAAATTTCAGGAGGAAAAACAAAACAAAACAAAACGCCAAACTTCTCTTTTGCACTAAGAAATTGCTGAAGGAAAAGCAACAATTATACGTGGCAAAAGTAGAGCTCCAATTAGGAAACAGAAACCACATAGCAATTTGAACTTGCAAAGTTTAATTTAAAGAAAATAACGATTACAGGGGATTGGAGTAATGAGGGGTTGGCTAACAAGAAATAACTGAAGATTAAAAGAATGACAAATATACGGAGCATTCACCACCTCTCAGGCTGGGATAGAGCTTCCCCTACTTCCCCAGGACTGAGATGCAGACCTTGCTTAGGGCCTGGCCATGGCTCACTGAATGTCAGAAGCAGCTGTGTGGAGTTGTCAGAGGACTTTTCTGGAAATCCTCCCTCTAGCATGCTGGTTCACTGACTGGAGGGCCTCCATCCTGAAACCAACTGAAGTGGGTGCTAGGGGAAGCAGCTGCTACCATTAGGCAGTGCACAAGCAAGCCACTGGAGGAGGGGCTCACTCTGCAAGAGCAGGACAGAGCACACTATATCCAGGGAGAAAAACCCCCTCCTCCTGCAGTGTCCCTCCAATGCCGTCTACTGATAAAGCTTAACATTGTGCCAGCTGGCAAGAGAAACATATTTAAAGGATCCAGCTCCATATCCACAGAGCATGCAAAAAGGGTGAATTTGAAGCTAACATTTTAAGAACTGGCACAGCTCACCCCTTTGGCTACTCAGCTTCTATATGTATTCTACGCATTTGAATTCCCACACAATGAAAAAAACAACAGAAGCAGAGGTGACTTTCCCAGCACCAGGTTCCTACAGCACAAACAGCTTCTCCAGAACTCACTCACAATGTATCATTCCTTTTCGAAGAACTAATCAGTAAAATGAAACAAGGCTAACAATAGGGAAACTCCAAGACTTCTCTCATAGCTCAATTAGTGTCTGAAAGTTCTTCCTTTTATCTAACACAAATACTTCTTATACAAACAAAGTTTTTGTTCTGTTTCATTTCAAGGGCACTAACTTAAGCACTATAGGATCCTGGTTAAAATCTCTAAAAGGTCTATCACTAAACTGAAGTGTCTTTAGCAAGTTACCTAATGTTTCTTGCCCTTTAAGGTAGGGGAAAGGAGGGGAGGGTATAGCTCAAGTGGGGGAGAATATCTCACAGGGTTTTTGTTGAGAGTAAATCAATCAAGTAAAGACTAAATCAACTGCATAAAACATGCAGAACCTAATTTTGCATGTCGGCGTTAACTGCTATTATTTTATCTATAAAGATGGAGTTAGATTATTTTCTGTCTCCCTACATAAAGACAGGGGGGTTGTCTGTTTTGTTTCCTATCTCCACCACCTAGAACAGTCCCTGGTACAAAACAGGTGCTCAAAAATACTTGTTTAATTAACACATGAAGCACTGATCATAAGCCTTTCTATACTGAAAGATACTAATGGCAACTCTTCAAAGTTCTAAAGTTGTAAAGACTTAGTTTAACAACTGGGAAACAGCTAATAGGGGGAAACAATTCACAGGGAAAAAAATGGCACCAATCACTTTTTTAAGAAGACCAGTATCAGTGACATATTTCTACAGTGTTTTAACTCTGGCATTTACCAGCTGCATTGCCTAGGAAAATCATTCCATTGGAACCTCAGTTTCTTCTTTTCAGGGGAAGAGAACAATTACTTCAGAGGACTGTTGAAACTTTTTAAAAACTGACATATACAGCAGCATCTAGGACTAAGTTTGTACCCTACTGATTTAAATATCACCTAAATGCAACCTCCGGTTTTTCAAGTCTGAGCAATACACAATTAGCTTTCACTGTGTAGTCAACCTAGCTAAGCTTAAACTGGAAAGGTTGTTCTAAAGGGAGTTCAGAAAAAGAGAGAGATGTCACGATTTCTTTCATGAGCATAGCAAATTCTGTAATTCCCTAAAATCTTCCAAGAATTTATTTGAAAAGAATATAGGATTGTGTTCTGTTTCTTCTGAAGGCAAAATAAAGCATCTAAGATATATCTAACACACACACACATACACATTCAATTTAATACAAAACTAAAAAGACCAACAAGGACCTGGCATTAGATTTAATGGTGAATATTTTTTAAAGTGACCCTACTGATAAGACAACCACATCATTGAACAGAAGAGAAACAGTTTATTCACATTTCCACAATATTAACATCTAAATTTCTAGAACTTAACTTCACTAATTCCTCTTACTATTAGTTTCCCAACAATGAAATAAATGTCCAGTCAAAAATCACCATAAAATACAAGTAACAAGAACACTACTCTTAACGATTTTTAGTGGTAACAATGCACACATTATTTACTACTGGCAAGTAGCCGTTGGCAAAGTTCTAATTCATTCTTAAGTTACAGAAACAAATAATTTTATCATTGACTCAAATGAGAAAGTGGAGATATCTAAATTTTTGCAGTACTAGAGCTCAACTAACAGGGAAAGTCTTTATAAATTTCACAGCAGAGTTGAAACACTAACTTTCCTAAAATAATACAAAATTATGGATATTAAAATTATTATAGATCTTATCTACTATAAGCACCATCAGTTTTACAGCAATGTTAAGTTTCACTTCTTGAGACCAAGAGATTAAGTTTTCAAGACGTGTGGGCTTCAGTCATACAGTCAAGATCCCTGACGTTCCAGGTAAACCCCGAACGTTCTAGGTAGACCCAGAAAGATTAAGTGATGCCCACTTGCCCTCTCCCAACAGAAACAGCTAGCCAGAGACAGTGTAGGTTTCCCCAGTTTATGAGAATTATCCAGGTCTCCAAAAATCATTTGCAATATTGCTCTTCCACTTAGTATGTGATCTACACTATCATTTTTATTTTTTAAAAAGATACACTAGAGATTACAAGTCCCAGTTCTGCTCCCTTCCCTTTGCCTTCTTTTTTTTTGGGGGGGGGAGGGTGTCTTTTTTTTTTTTTAATTTAAGTATAGTCAGTTTACAATTCATCGCCTTCTTTTAAGAGCAGCTGGATCATGAAGGAGGAGGTGGGGATGCTGTACATAATAGATGTCACCATTCATTTACGTCTTTACTGGAAAACTTTGGGCTGTGACACCACTACTAGCTTCCACAAGAGGAAAACACAAACTAAATTACTGACAGCAGGGATAATGAATCACCCTACTTGAGTTAAGAAGAAACAAAAGTACACCAGTAATTATTTTGTATCTTAATGACTATGGAGTCTTCTTGTTAAACCTGTATCCTCTTTCCCCAGTTTTATATTTTATTTTGTAACAAATTTCAATAAATTTGATATGCATTTCAAGGCAAGTCTGAGTTTAGATGAACTTAAGCATGTCTTTATAATACACTCTATACCTAATAACTTACTAGATACCTACAGTTAACAAATGTCTCATATGATATGGTTTTTAAATGCTTGCAGTGAGACACTCTGACATTCTTAATCCAGCCCCAAACCCTCTACTTAAATAAGTAACACGAGTAGGAAAACGACCTTAAACTTAACCTTAAACACAGGTATAAATATGGCAAACGGGAGAAAGGACCATCAGTACTCAGGATGCATTAGAGTCCCCCCATAGCGGGGTGGAGGTGCCGGGAAGGCTCATGAACCTGAGGTGCACTGTACAAGTCAAGAGCGATTCCTCACGTTTTCTGCATTCTGCAATCCTTGGTCGCTCAGTGGTGCGGCTGGGGCCACAACCTATAACCTTCATCCCAGAGAACCCCAGTATCTCTCTGTGGTGTGCAAACCCAACTGCTGAAGGAAAGGGGGCCGAAAGGCCAGGCTCAGGGCCGCCGGACGTGAGGCAAAAATCTTTTCCACTCCCAACCGAAATCGGAGCAATGGGTGTATTTGCGGAATGGATTTCTTAGGAAGGTCTCCTAAGACAAAAGGCAGGGAGTCGGGAACCTTTTCCGAGTTGCTGAGCTGGGAGTGGGATCTAATAGCCCCAGGCCCGCGTCCGCAGCAGCCCGCACCCAGCGCAGAGACCGCGCGCGACCGCGCCGCCCACACTCCGGAAGTATTCGGAGACCCCCCACCCACTCGGCCAGAACTGACCCTCTCCCCCACCCGTACTCGCTCGGCCCGAGCCCCTCACCCTGGTGATTGAACAGTCTCCAAATCCTGGTGAAGAGAATTCCCATTCTCGGGCAGCGGACCCCCCTCCAGCCACCCGGGCCGCCTGGCCTCCCCCGGCTCAGGCTCAAC